ACTAGGGTGCAGCTGTTTGGGGTCGAATGATAGTTACGTCATCATTTTCTGTGAAAAAATAAATAAAAAGAGCAGAGCTGCGGTAAAATAATGAATAAAAAGAGTGAGGCTATGGTCAAATAAATAAATTCATGAAAAAAGTGCGACTGCTGAGAGTGGCCAAAAAATGGACTGGCCAACCAGGAATTCTCCTGGTCCTCCCGATTAGCCAATCCGGGCCTGGGCTCAGCGATAGTGCATTATTGTGCTTCATATCATTCGATATCGATAATTATTGGATATTTTTTAATAACGCAGTTTGAAAATTTAGTATTTTTTTAATTTAGCCACATTATTTTAATTTACCAACATGATTAAGGCATATATATATATATATATATATATATATATATATATATATATATATATATATATATATATATATATATATATATATATATACATATACATATATATATATATATATATATATATATATATATAAATATATAAATATATATGGCGACGTGGTGGGACAGTGGGTAGCATGTTCCCCTCACAGCAAGGGAGTCACTGGGTCAGTTGGTATTTCTGTATGTTTGCAAGTTCTGTCCGTGTTCGTGTGGGTTTCCTCCGGGTGCTCCGGTTTCACCCACAAGTCCAAACTAACCATCATTATTCAAATGCATACTGAACCATTTCAAATTATGAAGTTGATTGACTACATTACCCCCTGCACTAAAAACACTTTCAGATGGGGAGCTAGTGACTAGGATGCACAAGAAAAAAAACCAAAAAGCCACTCTGGCCACATTCTTCCATCCTTTTTTCTATACAATCTCCTTACTGCTGCTAGCCACTGCACAATTTTCGCTCCCATGTGTGCGCCATGCACCTCCATTGAAAATGACAAACTTGCACCCTAAGCTAATTGGCATTGCTTCCAAGACACGCACAGCAACCACATTTTAATTGAATTCTAGATTCATATAGAATACATGCAGAAACTTCTCACCAAATCTTTTTTTTATTGTAACTGGCAATAGTGTTCTGTCAATAAAAAATGTTACTGATTTTATGGCTATTTGCTCTTTTGGGTACCACAAGAAGCGGTCTTGGATTGTCGCGAGTTGGATTGTAGTGAGACAGAAGGTTGGTTAGATAAACAGGAGCTATATTATTTAAAGCTTTAAATGTAAGAAGCAATATTTTATAACCAATACGAAACTTGACAGGCAGCCAGTGTAAGGAAGATAAAATTGCTGTGATGTAGTCAAATCTTCTTGACCTGGGAAGAACTCTGGCAGCTGCATTTTACTAGCTGAAGTTTATTAATAGTGGATGCTAGGCAACCAGCGAACTGAGCATTACAGTAATCCAGTCTAGAGGTCATAAAAGTATGAATTAACTTTTCTGCATCTGAGATAGATAGCATTTTTGAATTCCACCACTTGGGAGACTACCAGAGAGGCAGTCCAGTAAACTTTGGTTCCGACCACATTAGTTTCCAAGTAAAATGAAAGCAGAGGATGATTATTAATATGGCAGCTTGCCAAGTTTATAATGAAGGATCCACACAAATTATTGTTAACAAGAAGACCAAGACTATCAAACTTCTTCTATAAACAACTTGATTAAACTTGCACCTAAACATGAACACAAGACCTTACTACACCAACCACTTTAAATTGGTTTATTTCATTAGAAAACATGCAAACAATTTAGACTGTGTGGCAGGATCACTATGCTGACAGATTTGAGTTATTCCACTGCTACAACAGTCAAAAATCCCATCAAAACACAACTGAAGGCTTTGATTGAGATGTGTCAGTGCCACACACAGGAGCATTTTGATGCTAAAAACCTATTTTTATCTAGCATTTGTCATCTATTCACCAGCTTTTAACATGCTTATGTTTGTTTTAATCCTGTGTACTATTTATTCTGGACAGAGAGTTTGTGTTTTGATCTGTTCAGACTCTGTGCTTTAACTCTGAGATGCAGTTCAGTCGAGCATGAAGAGTTTGACATGACATCTGTACACTCATCTGTACAGAAAGACACAGTAAATGAACCCGTGTCCTCTGCTGTCTCCTGTAATAGATGCACGATATAAGCAGCTTCTTGCAATTACACCGTGATTTAAAGCCAAGCGTCTGACAGTGGCTGTTCCATTAGCAAGTTTGTTGAAGCTGCATGTTCTGCCTCATCAAGTGTAGATTTGGTGCGGTAAATGTTTTCTCTTTTTTTTGTCGATTGATTTTTGTTGTGTGATAAAAATAAACTATATTTTTAGTTTTTGCTCTGAGAGAGAAGCTCAAATAAAACTGAAAATAAGGCAAGTTCATTTTATATAGCACTGAGTGTATTATCTGAGTGTCATCAGCATAGCTGTGGCAGGACATTTGGTTCTTTCTCATTATTTGGCTCAGTGGGAGCATATCATGGTTGAACAGATGAGGTCCTCGAATTGAGCCTTGTCACTGGTGTCCGTCTCAACCTATGGTCATCTAAACTGACATAGTAACCGCTCCCTTTAAGGTAAGATCTGAACCATTTGAGGACCGTCCCAGAAAGCAAAACCCAGTTTTCCAGCCTATCCAGAAGTATGCTGTGATCAGCAGTGTCAAATGCAGCACTGAGATCGAGCAGTACCAGCACTGTTAGTTTTCCTGAATCTTGAATTAAGTGAAAGTGTATCTTGACTAGCCATAGAAAATGTCATAACACAGTTTTTAAGGGCTTTAAAAACAGGTTTTGTTTGTAAAAATATCATTATTTATGCATGTGTTAATGAGAATTTTCTTTTCTTGGAAAATGTCACGCCACGCAATGATAAATATGACTCTGAATTATTTGTTTTCCTTTTAATTTTGTGGAGAGGTCCAAAGAAATAAATGTGTAGAGAAATATTTTCCAGTTCAGTTTTTAAGTGTTTATTATGGTAATTTAATTTTGTTGCAGGTACATTGCAAAGCATTCATTTTAATTATAAATATGAACTCTATATGCTGATCCATTGCTAGATTAGATCAAATTTAGTTTACAAGAAATATTTTAAAATAAACTATTCATGTTTTAGGATGTACTGTAGGCTTTGCTGATATTATATATATATTTTTTTAATTGCGTGGTATTTCTGTTAAACTAGATTTAGATAACGGACAAAAAAATACAAATTTCCTTACATTTACAAAATTAAATGTGCAAAAAAGGTGATTTGAATTAGGGAACAGTATCATATAAAAGGAGGTTG